CTATCTTCACTAAGATCTCTTTGGTTATGCTTCGGGTGATCGTCATTTAGTGATGGATCAATACTTTCTAAGAAACTTTTGAAAATATTAACATTGACACAACTAAGTCCAGCAACGATCGCATCTCTCACTGTTGGTTGTTGGGTTTTTAACAAAGGTACAACCATTTTAAAAATCGATTTTGCACTGGTGATTTTTTGATGCTGAACTGTTAATACTTGTTGAGACCTTTTTCTGATATGAGACTTAGTGAAACTTGATGAGTTGGAAGTGCCAGAGATTGAGCCCGAAGGTATATGTAGTCTTTGCTCATTTGTAGATGTTAATGTAGTACATGCTACAATCAAATATATTCTCCATTGTTCCACTAATAATTCTGGTGGAGAAAATTGTTTTGATGCTGAATTTGTAGCTCCCATCAGTTCTTCAACAGCAGTCTGATTATTGGTAGAACTATTACTATTATAAACACCAGACAAAGCTCCAAAAAATGATGAAGCTGATTTATTTGGTTGATGATGGCTATGATTCTTTCCAACGTAATTCAGAGAAAAAGACAAACTCCTCGAAGTTGACTCCTCTGAAAAGCTGAAGATGGGTTCATGAATTTGAACTAACCTGACGCACACAATAGAGCGACATAAGGCTATTGGAATCGGGCATTTCTCAAAAATTATTGTCAAAACTTTAGGAAATATTTTAAACCATAATGTGCTATCGATCCCATAGTCACTTCTGGCTAATGAAGTTAATATATTTTTCCTTTTTTTAATATTTAATTCCTTTAGCCTTTTTTTCTCAGGTAAAGTCAATTCTTTTTCCAACGGGGAAATTAGTTCAAAGAAGTCTGTATTGCTTAAAATGTGAATTAATCTAGTACCGACTTCAGCAGTAAATTTGGAAGGAGTCCTTTTATGTTGATTTTGGTCTTTAACAAAATCTTCTTTTGTATTTTCAGTATTTGAACTTATAATAGTTAACTCGTCAATAACTTCATCGAAGGTTGATACGATTTTCAAAATTTGTAAACCAAAATGGCGAGTTCTAGAATCTTGCGAACATAAGAAAAATAAACCGTTCCCTTCTACTTCTTCAATAATAGTAATAATGTTTTTCAATTCAAGCTCATCGCTAATCTTATTGGATTCTACTTTCACTAGATTATCACCGCTATTAATAACTCCGTGAACTGGATTATTTATGTTCCCATTTATATTCATATTATTGATATTATTTGGATTCATACCATTAATTGAGACTTCGACCGCTTCCGGCTGAGAGTTCTTTAAAATTTCTTTGAAAGAATTTAGCCAGCAGTTCAACAAATCGACATATATTTTGAGCAAACTCTGATACTCTTTAGAAGTCAAATAATTTACATCAAAAGCACAGTAAGACTTTTCATCAAACTGAAAAGCATATCTTGCAAAAGTAATAATCAAAATTTTTGGATTCTTCTTTATGAGCAAAACCTTTAACGTATTGATCGCAGCTGAACTTATTCTTACGTCACCATGTACAGAGTTCCTAACTAATAGTTCAACTAATTTCCTGTATGAGATATTTAAACCAGAAGATGAGCCATATGGAATAGTGTCAATCAACGTAGAGAACAACTCAATATTCAAATTTTTCGTAATATGAGAAGAAAAATCATTGTTATGCAAGAACGAGGAAAAGGGCGACTTTGCCGAAAATGTCGAAGACAGAGTTGAAGCACCAGAAGTCAACGATGATATAGACATACCAGAACCAGGTGAGGATGAAGTGTTTGAAACAGAACCATTATCTGGCAGGGAAGAACTAGAATTCAATTGCCAGTTAGGAGCCCCAATAGAGCTATCCAAAGTTTGGAAGAGTTTAAGAAATATTTTCGTGAGTTCTTCGTGAGTTGAAGCATTGGATGAATTTTTTTCAAAAATATCAGTCCCTCCATTACTGAATAAAACAGAACCATTTTTTTTCCTGCTGTCAATATTTATAAACTCAAAAGCATTTCTCTGTTGCGGAATATCTATCAAAACTTCGTCGGTAGGAAATGGTGGCCTCTTCTTCGTTTCGACATCTATCAAAATAGCAATGTATGATCTTAAACATAAAATCAATTTTTCTTGAGAAATTCCCTCTAAGCCAGAACCATTATAACTTGACTTGATTAATGGTAACAAAACATTTTCTAAAGTATAGTTTAAATTCGAATATCCGACGGATCTCAACAACTGAACGGAAGCTTGAATCAATGATAAATCAGACGTTATCCATTGCTGTTTCTTTGAGGAATTATTGAAAAATAAAAGTTTAAAAATTCTATCCAAATTCCTAACGGTATTATTTAATGATTCAGTACATCTGAATAAATACGTCCAGGTTAGTCTTGCACAGCATGTGATATATATTATCTTGTCCTCTACTGAGGCCTTCGGAACCTTGGGCTTCAAAATATTAACATTACTTTCAATAATTTTCAACCAATTGTCTAAAAATAAGTCGCTATTAGAAACGGACAAACTAGTTGTTACCAAGTTAATTCCAGAGGCCCAGAATTGTCCAGATTTATAGCTCAACATCCATAACGCTTTCTGAGAAATTAAATCGATTGCTTCACTCCAGGTAGGATGATTCACCTCTGCAGTGACAATACCAGCCAATGGCAATAAAATCTGATTTAAAACTTCCGCGTATGATAATAACACATTTTCGTTTTGACATTTGCTAAAAAATTTTCCCACGCTCTGCAAAAAATCTGAACTTTCTTCAAAATTTTCCAAGGGGTAATGTCTTAATTTTAAATATCTCATTCCATGAATCAATAATCTTAAATTGTCTTCTGTATGGCTGTTATTGTTATTATTAGTGCTATTATTATATTCAATTCCATTATAAACATCAGCAGATAAATTTCCTTGATCACTTTTGCTTATTGAAGAAGATGAATTATTTGAAATATTTGGTGGAACTTTTTCCAAATCAGCTATGAATCTATCACTAACACTTAAAAATCTCTTATCAGACATATAACCTAATAATTCTGCAAATAAATTCCAGTTTGAAGATCTTATCAAACTTTTACTTATCAATATTGGATCTGTAGTTTTCAATTGTGAATGAATAATTTCCTCCAATTTATCCCCTAAATCGTCTCCTAAGACATCATTTGGTGTTTGTTTGACAACCTCGATTAATACTCGACATAATATATAAATACTTATTAAAGATTTTCTTTCTGCTTGAATTGCAGTTTCTTTAGATTCTTCGACTTTAATTGCTAAGCTTTTAAGATTATTGTTATTAATATCAGACAAGTTGGTACCATTATCAGATGAGCTTATCGAATTTGATTTACGATCTTTCACTGGAGAATTGGATGTAGATGATGATGAAGTAACTGGACCTAATTTGGATGAACTTTTCTTGTGTGATCTCATGAATGATAAAGAAGCCTGGCGATGTAGGCCCTTGTGTTCTTTAAGTGGTGGTTCAGGATTTGAAATTGTTCTTGAAGTAGAAGGAATTAATCTTCTCTGTTCTTGTTTCAATATTTTGATATTTTTTTCAACTGCACTAGACGCTAATATGGCAACTTCTGATTTTGATTTTCTCCAAAACATTACAGAGTCAATTACAGGCTTTGGTTTTCTTCTTGCAATATATCCCAATGATTCTATTATTTTATCAAATGCTGGGTCAACACCTTCTGCTAACAATTCATTTATCGGAGGTTCCGTATCTAATGAATAAGTATTTAAGCATAAATTTAATTTCCTTTCAGCATGTCTAACAAATTGTGTAAATAATATATGTAATGTATACTCAGCTGGAGTTTTCTGATCAGTTGCCAAGTTTCTGCGTACTTCATTAATCTCATTAATATTAATCATAGTCAATCTTCTATCCAAACCTGTCTTTTGTTGTTGTTGCTGCTGCTGCTGCTGTTGTTGCTGTTGTTGTTGTTGCTGTGGAGCCTGTTGAGCTTTCTGGGTCTGCTGAGATACTTGCTGCAATAAGTCCTGAGAATTTTGTACTTTCTCAGGAGTGACAAGTGGGGGTGGAGGTGGTAGTTGAGGTGTAATTAAATTATTCAGAAATTGTGAAGTAGGTTCAGCATTGGGAGTCGTTACCATTTCATTAGTATTTTGATTTTGATTTAAATTCAAGTTTTGGCTTAATGAATGCATAGGAGGATCTCCCAATTTAAAATCAGAAGTTTGAGAGTAATATTGATCGTGGTCTTGTTGAACTATTTGAGGTGAAACTTGATGTTCATGTTGTTGTAAACGCAGATGAAGATTATTTTCGAATGTATTGGAATCAAAGGATGAATTTGCGTTATAATCCTCGGGTATATCTGGAATTTCTATTATTTGAGGAATGTGATTTTCTTGAGATATGTTATATATTGATTGCTGATTATTATGATCATTATTACTGCCATTTGCACCGTTGCCTCTTTCGCCATCAATATTCACCGACATTGGTAATTCTGAGAATATATATGATTCCTTTCCTTTTATCTGATTTTTTCGCTTCCTGAAATAGTTTCAAATGTATATACAATGTGTTCAGTTGCTTTTTATTATAGTACTCAAACTATAGTACTTATAAATATTAAACAAAGTAGTTAGAAAAAGCCCGACATATAAAAATAACAATTTGATCTAAGTTGATTTTATCAACAAGCAAAAGAAAGTAATAAAAATAAAAATAAAAAAAAAAAAATTAAAAAATTAGAAATTATGAAGCAATAAGTAATATACAACAATTGATTTGAACCAAGCAATAAATAAAAGGCCTGAGATAAATCCAAACTAGATTTATTTGAAGTAATATATTTAAATATATATATATATATATATATATAAAACTTTAGTGTTTATATTTTGATGTGTGTACACACATTGTGTATCAGATTCGCATTGGGGGAAAAAAAAAGAAAGGAAACTTTTGTTCGTAAAGAAAATATCAAAAAAATAAAAAAATTTTGAAAAAAAAAATAATGTAATTGCGAATTCTGTGGATCGAACACAGGACCTTTAGATTGCAGCGCTTAGCACGTCTTCAGTCTAACGCTCTCCCAACTGAGCTAAATCCGCTATACATTAATAAAGTTTTGAACACTGTTTTGACATTCGCTATACAGAATAATGTAAGAAATGTAAGAACAATTTATCGAACAATCTATCACTATTACTATTATTTATTGATTTTAATTAGCCACGTAACTATAAGACCTATACAACGCAGTGGAAATAATCACGGCCTTTGGAAATTCCATCCAAGACTATTTTAGAAATTTCATCTGCGTCACTTGTGATACCTGTTAAATTTTCAGCTCCATCTTTTGTTACCAAGATATCATCTTCTATACGGACACCACCGATTTCGTAGTATTTTTGCATAATTTCTAGATCAATTTTTTCTGCTTTTTTAGGATCTTTTAATCCTTCTTCAACTAAGAAAGGTGAGAAATATACACCTGGTTCATCTGTGACAACCATACCTTCTTGTAGAGGTCTACGTATTCTTAAATATCTCAACATTGGATTTGGATCTTCATAATTTGGTAATCCACCAACATCATGAGTATCCATACCTAGTAAGTGGCCCAAGCCGTGGGGGAAAAAAATAACTGAAGCAGCGCTCTCAAAAATTTCATTTTCTGTGAATTGGGATTTGAAAATACCCATTCTTAAAAAATGTTTGATTAATATTTTATGTGCTAAAATGTGTATATCATCCCATAATACTCCAGGCTTAATTTGAGCAAATGCTTGTTTTTGCATGTCTAATACAGTATCATAGATTTCTCTATGTTCTTTTGACCATTTACCATCAATGGGGAAACATCTTGTAACGTCGCAACTATAGTTTGACCATTCTGCTCCAGCATCAATTAAAACTGATTTCCTTTGCCCTAAATCTTCATCATTTTTAACATAATGTAAAGTACTACAATTTGGACCTGAACAACATATTGGATCATAACTTTGAAATTTCGAGCCCTGTCTAATTGAATGATAAACAAATTCTGCGTGTATGTGACCTTCATTTTTTTCAATTGGCAACGCTGACATCACCGCTAAATGTGAATTATCTGTAATCTTAGCAGCATGGCGCATCAACAGAATCTCATAGTCATCTTTGATCATTCTAGATTCATCCAAAGACCACAAGAATTCTTTATCATCAGCAATTAAAAATTTTTTAAAAGATTCTTTATAATTCTTATAACAAGTACTATAAATCTCTCTTTTATCTAAAGAATAGTCTTCTAATTTCTTCAAAATTTTAGATTCGTATAAAACTTCATCGACATCAAATACCTCTTTGGCTTTTTTTAAACTCATTGGCATACCACTCCACATAACGTCATCATAATCAATTTCCGGTAAGAACAAAGTCAACTTATTTGTTATCAAGTCAAATAATACATGCAGACTAGGTATATTACAACCTGTAAGATAATAAAAATATCTGTTTTGTCTAAATGGATAAGTTTGATCACAATATGGTATTGGTAAAGGTGCTTCTCCACTGACGAAAAAAACCGATCTCGATGACGAAGATTTTTTGGTCAAAAAATGTTTGGCAACATTCAAGGCATGTTTCTTGGCTGGATATTTCTTCCCTTTCAATTCAATCGGACCTTCCTGATATGATGAAAACGACAGCATTGTAGAAGTTGAGAATTTTCCAATTGTATTAAAAGCAGTATTCGTAGTATCAATATATTTGCCAAAATTTAAATTTTTTTTCCTATGGAAATTATACGACCACTTACAGAGAAATTGTACCACGTAGCTAACGAGTTAAACATAAGAATTAAAAGAATTGAAAAAAAAAAAAAAAAAAAAAAAAAAAAAAAAAAAAAAAAATTA